TTTTGCGATATTGAAAATGCAAACTGGAAGAGAAATATAAAGTTCAACTCCATTGAATTAATTAAAAGCTTATAATAAAAGTTGTTAAATTAAATCAATAGCAGTTAGTAATTATATAATTAATTATTTAAATTGTAATGTAATTGTTGCAAGTGGAAATAGTTTTTAATAATTTCTCGAATATTTACAATATTTTATTGAGTATTAATTTTTTTAAAGTATTTTTAATTTTAGATATCATATATTTTTGATTTTTTTTTAATATAATAAACTTTTGGGCATAAAATTAAAATTTTTAAACCGTTTTACATGTTTTTTTTTTTTTAAATGTCACACTCCCCATTTGTTCAAAAAAAACTCCCATAAGTTCGAAGCATCAGCAGTTTATTAGCCGTTGCTTATAAACATATTTATTAAATGTATTTGTAAAAAAATCACCATTCCTATCAGCAAGAGGCATATCAACAATTAAGATGAGATCATAGGCTAGCTAATGGTCTATAAAGGGGACAAATACATATATCGGGTGGACACGAAAAAAACCGGTCAACTTTAAATTGAGATTTCTCTAAAACCATAAATGTTTTTTATTTCAATTTTTTTATTATTAAATGTGTTTACATAAATTAGAGTTTCAACTTAATTTTAAGGGGCTTGATGGGTTGCTTGGCAAGAAATCGAACTTTATAGCGGGTTGATGCCATCATTTTACAGATTTTTTCTTTTTTCACCATATTGGTGGCATTAATCCACTTTTTTTGGAAGTCCTTTTTATTATTTGTTAGCCCACCTGTCTTACGAAGAACTTCTTTAACTACTGCCCAAAAATCTTCAATCTTGCGCTCTTCAGGACGATTTGGAGGATTCGCATCTTTAGGAACAATTTTCACATTATTATCCACTGTAAAACTTTTTTAGAATAGTGAGAGGCAGCAAGATCGGGCCAAAAGAGACATCGGTATTTGTGTTTTTTTATAAAAGACAAAAGTCTTTTTTGGAGGCATTCTTTGATGTAGAGATTGGCAGTCAAGGTCTTTTTAGTGACAAAACAAGAGGACTACATACCACAGCTACAAATTGCTTGCCACACAAGGAACTTGGATGCAAATTTTTCTTATCGAATATATTTAAATTGATCATCGACAGGTTTATCTTTGTTTTCATAGTAAAACTGTTGACCAGGAAGTTGTGAAAAATCCGCCTTGCAATACGTTTCGTCGTCTTCAATTATGCACATATTTTTATCCGCCATTATTTTAACCAACTTCTTTGCGCGTCGAATTCCTTTAATTTCACAATTTAAGCTTCTCTTAGGTGTATTGTTTTTATGAAATGCTTTAGTTCCATCATTTTTAAGTACTTTTTTGATATAAGAACGAGAAGTCTTAAATTTTTTTGCTAGATCTCGCTGTGACTGTTTTGGATTTCTTGCTATTGAACATAAAATCGACTTTACCTTTTTGGATTTATGGAAAGTTTTTTTTCTTCCCCTTTTAAGTTTTTGAAATCCCTTTACAATTTGGTCAGTTTCTTCATTTACCTTAACCTAATAGAATTTTGAAAATTCATTCCTCCTCATAAAATAAATACAATCCAGATAATTTTCTTGAGTTGATAACTGATGTGAACTTTCAGTCATTTTTTAGCATCAATTTAGAATGGAATGGAATCTGATTTTAATAATAAAGAAGCTTTTATCTTCATGTCTATAGTTTTATTTTGAACTTAACTGCATAATTAATCCAGCAGCTTGATTAAATGTGATGTTAAATCATTTATATATGCTGTTAGTATTTGTTTTAATGTCAAATTTAACTGTCTTTTAATTTTATGAATTTCACTTCATCATCTTTAACAATCAAATTGTCACCTGACCAGTATTTTGAAACTTTGCGTTGACTTGAAAGTGAAGCTAGTTTAACATTGTTTGACTTGAAAAATCTAAAGTATGAAATAATTTTTTTAGTTTTTTCAGTTTGTATATGTAGACGAAAAAAAATGTAAAAATAAAACTAAAACTACTTTTGTAATGTAAATTAAAAAAATGTAAAATTTTAAAAAATGAGCTACTGCATTGAATTTGACATAACTGATTTAGTATTGTATGCGAAAAGCCGTGTAATAAAAAGTATATTATTAACCTAATCCTTTTTTTTTTCCATCATTTTCCAAGGTAAACCACAGTCTACTTTCAGTGATGTCTTACAATGTCTTCTAACCCTAACTCAACTTGAGAAAAAATATTTAGTATATTATTTTTATCATTTTCATAAAAAGAATTGACCATAAGCGCCACTTATTGCATTTTTCCTTTTTTTGTTGGTCCTGTATTTTTTAATAAGTGATTGTTGCAATTGCTTTTGACGTCTTAAATGGTTTTCTGACTAATATCAGTTGATGTTTTATAGTTTTTTGAAGTTGTTGAATACTGTATAGCTTGAAATAGAAAAACTTTTTTTTAATATATTTTACTGTAGTTGATATTGATTTATTATTTTTAAGAGTCTACTATTTTTGTAAAATATTTTATGTATTTCTTACCCGTAGACCACCAGAAGAAAGTTTAAATGATAGTGAATTATTTTTTTTCCATATTTAGTTTTTCAAAGTGAGCAAACGCATAGTCTAATTCTTTAGGAATGTCAAAAATTTTATTAATTTAATAAATGTCTGCAACTGTCAATGTAGAGTAAGATGATGCTCAACATATGTATGGCATGTTTCGAATTTTGCATACTCGTTAATGTTTGTCAATATTGCATACACTTACAGGGGCGGACTGGCCATGTGGAAGATGTGGACTATTCCACATGGGCCGTTGTTAAGTACTTTGTTTTTACGTATATGTATTCTAATAAATTTTTTCTGTTCGATATTTATTCATTAATGTATATATTTATAAATTAAGCATAACTTTGTAATTTACGTCTGTTATCTTTGCTGCTTTTCCTCATTTTTCGTTGGCCTACAGGGCCGTTAAAAATATTTTTCCACATCATAATAATTTGGCCAGTCCGCCCCTGTACACTTATTGCGTAAAACTTTACATTGCATGTATTTTTATAATGCTTTGAACTATATTCTCAAGAATATTTTGCATTGCTGTTGCTTTCGAAATACTACTGTTATGTTTGAGTAACTTATGGAGATAAATAAAGCAATATTTTGGCATTTTGCTTTTGTTTCGAGTTTTCCAATTAAGTTTGGAAAAATATGTGCAACTCAAAATAGATGCAGTTATGAGGTAAAATAGGTCTGTGTTATTCTATTTCAAAATATGCAAACACATAAGTTTTTGTTTGGGTAATCAGCTGTGTTGATAGACTCATACCACATGTAAGACATCAAAAAAACTGTCTATTAGAACATTAATTTTCTCCCTTATCAAATTAATTTTTTTCCGTGATGGTTGTCTTCTATATAGTTTTTCTTCTTTCTACCGGGCTTCTTTAAAAAAAAACAGATGCTTCTTTCGAGTGAGTATGTTTGTGGCCAGTGTTTTATGCTGAAATTAGATGAGGTCTTTTCTTGAATTCCGAAAAATAACTAAAAGTTTAACCATTGTGTGTTTATTTACAATTTAAACATACAAAAACATAATAAAATAATTTTTATGCTATTTTATCAGAGCTCTCTTCAAACGATCGCCTATCAACATATCGACTAAATTGATTTTTGCTGTATGTGACATTAATTGTAATAATTAATAGCATGGAGATTTACAATTACATGATTGCTATGCGTATCACAAAACTGCTATATTTGTAGCATTAGATTTTATCAGAACATATGAATGCCAGTCTACAGATATACGTATTTTAGTTAACGAAGGGAGACTTAAACAGGCTAAAGAAAATCAAAAACCATTTAAACCTGTAATTGAATTCATAACGTTTTTTGGTTGACAGAATATTGCTTTGCGAGGTCATCGCTATGATGGGCAGATCTTTGAAACAAGTCATAACTCTTCAGTAATTAATGGGAATTATTTCTCTTTCGAGTGAACGCTGGGGACAATACTTTAAAAACCATTAAAATAACTGTAAAGTAACATACAAAAGTAAAAGTATTCAAAATGAAATAATTGAACTATGCGCTTAAAAAATTCGGGACTTTATTAAAACAAAAAATTTTAAAGGAAAATTTTATAGCGTTATATTTGATGAAACAGCGGATACCAGTCATAGTTTTCAAATGACAGCCGTATCAAGATATATGGTTGTTAATACCTGTGAAAAAGTGAGGCTTTTATTTTTGTAAACTGCCATACTGAAAATTATTCTGATTTTACTTATGAACCTGTATAAACTGGAGAATTGTTAGCGAACACAATTGCAAACACCTTGTCGAAACTTGGCTTTAATTTAAAGGATTGTGTTGGTATAGGTACTAATGGATGCAGCCTTATGTTAGGTGAAAACAACGGAATAGTCAAAAAATTACAGAAGATCCTACCAAACGCAATAAAAAGCCTATGTTACAACCATGCTTTAAAATTATCAATTTCCAAATATTCGTCTGTGCGAAAATAGAATTAGCACAATGAAAGAAGTTATATCATTTTTTTAAAGCTTCACCAAATCGAAGTAAAATTCTTAAATATATAAATAAGGGAATGCCTACAAGCTTATGCGAAAAACGAGATGGATTGAGCAGCATAATTCTGTGTTATGTTTTAGATCTTGTTTAGTAAATATAGTAAAAACACTTGATTTGATATCTCAAATAAAAGGCCGCATTACTAAAAAGTGCAACATCTGAGCACTTATATGTAATAACACTTTGTTAAATACCACAGTCTCTTTAAGAAGGATCTTCAAAAAAAATTAATGGATGAGGAATATGTAACATACCATATAAATAATAAACCATAAAAATAATATATCATAAATAATAAATAAAAATAACATACCATAGAAATATACTATAAAAATAACATACCATAAATAATAAATAAAAATAACATACCATAAAAATATTAAATAAAAGACGACAGAATGAAGAAAACTTTAATGTTATAATTATGACTGCATCAAAGTTACTAGAAGGCTTAGGTTTAAAAATCAAGATTCTACGAATTATAGGAAAACAAACTAATCGCGCAAACCTCAATACAATTTATCCTCTAACTTACTATAGAGTCAATGTTTAATTACCGTTACTTGATAGCATACTTCTAGATTTAGAGTTCAGATTTTCTAATGAAACCTTGAACTCTTTTGAATTAAATGTAGCAATACCTAGAAATTTATTAAATAAAACAAAAACAGAGTTAACAGCATCCATAACTAATATGCTGAGTTTTATGGCTACCCAACATAAATAGTGTTGATGAGAATGTCTAAATAATGAAAGTTGTTTCAGAATTTGAATTTTGGGAGCTAAAATGGAAAGACGCAATTAAAAAGCGACAAGACCTATCTGAATGTGCGCTGGAAGCATACAGGCAATGTGATGGTAATGTCTTCCCTTTAATTAAATGTATTTTGCAATTGATTTGTACCCTTCCTGTTAGCGTTGCTTTGGGAGAACGAAATTTTTTGCTTTAAAAAAGACTTGAAACTTGGTTAAGATTCATTATTTTCATTTTTTAGTGAATGCAAAATAATAATTATTTGTTGAGAAATTTTTAATGCTAAATGCATTTAGATAATTATGATTCACTATTATGATTCCCTATTATTATGTTGTTTATTATGTATTATAGTGTTTCACTATTATTATGTTGTTTATTATGTATTATGGTGTTTCATTATTATATTATTATGTTGTTTATTATGTATTATGGTGTTTCATTATTATATTATTATGTTGTTTATTATGTATTATGGTGTTTCATTATTATATTATTATGTTGTTTATTATGTATTATGGTGTTTCATTATTATATTATTATGTTGTTTATTATGTATTATGGTGTTTCATTATTATATTATTATGTTGTTCATTATTATATTATGATACTTCATTATTATATTTCGTTATAATATATATAATATTTTGATATTTCATTATTAATTCTAAATGCGTTTAGCATTTATTAGGAAATATTATATTATTCTGATATTGAATTTCAACATGCCTCGAATAATTTTTTTTTTTTTTAAATTATGGAGTGTTGTTTATTGTTTAAAAGTATATACTACTTTTTTTAGATAAATTACAATGAAACAAATGTAATATTTTGTTCACCTGAAGCCATTGTAACAACTTATTGATCAATTGTCAATGATTCTGCTTTTAATCAGAAACTTGTTGCAATTGCAGCTGACAAAACCCATTGTGTGAAAAAATGGTAAGTGATTTTGTTGTATAAATAAATTTGCTTGTTTAGTAAACATTAAAATTTACAACTTTAATGTCAGACCTTCTTTTTATATATAAAATTATTTTAAAGTTAAAAAATTTTGCTCATTGAAAGAAAAAATGCATTACCTATAGCATTATATGAGCAAAATTGTGTGATTTACATGTTTCTATTTGTCTGTAATTTTTATAGGGGAAGTTCAAGTACATAATCAGATGTATTTTGGTCTCATGATAATAAACTTAGAACTGTGATCACTTGTCCCTAAAAGGATTCCAGAATTGGTAAACGATAATTTTCATTTACTCGAATGGATTATTTATTAACTAGTCGAGAAGGAAACATCATAATAGCTGAGTAGGCGGAGCCAGCATTTGAACCTCCAATCCTGCTGCTGCAGCCAATAATTATTCTGAACTTATAACAGTGCTTTAACCAACTGAGCTACCATTATTGATAATCTTTGTATGCATAATTTAGTTATTATATCATCTACACCAGAAAGAAGAAATATTAAATACCAGATCCAGGGAAATTTTTCTACCATGTTGTTCAAGATATTCTTTTGAATAATCAGCTAAAAGAACCAGTGGCGGATTAAGACTTCTTGGGGCCCGGGGCTATTTTTGTTTTTGGAGGCCTTTTTATGAGCCAGAGCCTAAAAATGACTAAAAATGAAAAAAAGGTCCTCAAAAATTTTTGGGGGCCCTAAATTTGTGGGGCCCGGGGCTATAGTCCCCCTAACCCCCCCCCCCCCTCCTTGATCAGGCACTGAAAAAACTTTAGTTTTTTCTACAACTATGACTGATTTTTACATTTGTATAGCATATTTTATAAATACAATGATAGTTTTTTGAATAAATTAGTTTTTCATTTATGAAATTTCTATATGTAGGCCAGCTTCTGTTATTTTTCCCTTATACCCCATAAATTATTTTTCATAGAACCATCATCATAGGATGAATACTTTTGTGTGATATCATGGAGACATAAAATGCACACGCTTAATGAGTTTAGAGGTAAGAAAACCTCATAAGGTTGTGCCCTTTTTTTTGGCAACGGTAAAATGTTTTTTTTTTAAGCAATGAAACATTGTGATCATTGCATTAAAAAATCAAACAACTTATCCTCCATTTAATAAAAACTGGATACCATGTTGCAATATAAAAGAAAACCAAAACTTATGAGTATATAAAAACAAAACAAAATGTTTGAATTTAATAAATTAAATTTGAAGATGATCTGACTGAATTTGACCACTACTTATGAGCAAGAAAAAAAAAATGAACTTATTATTATTTTAATAAATCTGCAATCAGAAAAAACATTAATGTGTCTTTTTTTAGTTTGAAAGTTAAAAATACGGATTAACAAAATGGTATTAGACGTATCTTAAATTTGTTAAAATGGTTGATAGTTTGTTGAAAATGGTTGATAATTGTTTTTTTAAAAAGTTTATTACCATCTTTAATTTTCTTTTAAGAATTTCATAGCAATACTACCCCACGTTTATACGAAAAAAAAATCTAATACAAAGTAGTATATAAATTATACTGAGTGCCAGTTTTCAAATTTTATGTTAATAATAAACATTATAAAATGAAAACATTAGATGTTCATTGGGTGCAAGTTGCAACTATAATATAATAAAGTTTAAAAACCTTTTTCGAAAACACATGGAAGCCATTAGTTTTTACAAATATACAAAAGTTTACAACATGTTATGTTAAGTTATGTTTAGTGTCTCGAGTCAAATTGTCTCAGGTTATGTTTATAAAGCTAATCATTTATGGACAACAAGGACTGAAAGTAGACCACTTAATGTACTTTACAATTAAAGTCAGGACGGTTTGATTCTGTTCACTTTTTTGACTGGTTTGTTATTGTTTTTTGTCAAATTGTAGGAACTAAAGTTCCTATTAGATATAACTTAAGCAATCTTTACAGTGAAAAGGTACTTGAATTTGCTAAAAAAAATAGTATCTTGTTGCGAAGAAAACAGTATCTTGTTATATAACTGGTAGCTCTACCCATTTATTGCAACCTCTTGTTGTTGCATTTTATGGACCTCTTAAAAAATATTACAGAAAAATACTTGATCTATCGAAATCCTCTTGTTCCAAAAAAAGTAAAGACAATTACAAAAAATAAATCTTCTATTTTCTTTCTTTACTTATAAACGTTATATTTGTCAGATCAAAAGGTTATTAGCAACTTAGTAGCTTAGTGGTTTTGAAAGACTTATTGGATTTACCCATTAGATAAGTATCATTGTCAATCATTTGCCAGATGGTATTTGCATATTTGGTATGCCGGCATACTAAATATGCAAATACCATCTGGAAAAAATACTGTTTGGCATGCCAAGCAGTAATTAATGTACTTTAACAATTGTTTCCTGTTGATGTCAAGGAAAAAGCTCAAGGGAAAAAAAAACTACTTTTGCCCTTTTTAAAAACTTTATTTTTTTGGAGGATATTTTGGTAAAATGTAAACATGTTCCACTTGCATTGTCTGTAAGTCTACTTAAAAAATACCCATTACAAAATAAAATACTAACTGGATGTTTGTTATGAAATAATATTATATTATTTTAACAATAATAAATTGATGTAAAAATAGAATGTTGCTTTTACTAAATTTTAAAACAAAACAATGTGTTTTTTAATAAATTTTGCTTTTACAAAAAAGCGCATTTAACCCCATTTGTTATGTAACTTTGAATGAGCATTTAAATTAATATTATATAAAACTCTTTTATTTAAATACTATTTTGAATTTGAATAATATAAGAGTCAACCTTTACCCCAATATTCATTTTGTTAAATTTCAAATATTGTCAATAGTGAAGAAAGAGCATGTAAAAATATCTTAAAAACGTTGAAAGTAACCCCAGTTTATGGTATCTCTTATATTGAACTGTTGGAAATCAGGTTGAAATATTTGTATGGATTGGACTTCATCATGTACTGAAGTGTTAGGGTATTAAACAAACTGCTGAAGCTATAAACAATATTCATGGTTCAGATGATCAACAAAAAACTAATATTGACAGCCTTTTTGATGAGATGTCAAGTGCAAAAACCTTTTTTGCTTTAAAAAATGAAGAATGGCATTGAAAATCCAAATCGTCTATGTTAACAAATGGGTTCAATTACTCAAGCATTTTCAAGGGAAAGACATTGGTGTATTTAATCTGCTAAAAGTTATTGAGTAACTTTTTTGTCTGCTAGGAACATCTACACATATTTTATCCATCATGAAAAATATTTGATCACATGATCTGATATAATAACAGTAAACTTTTTTCTTATTTTGTTAAATTTAAACAATAATAAAATGTAATAACAGTGAATGATTTTTTTTTCTCGTATTTCTTTTGTTAAATTTAACAAACAATAAAAAATATTTTGGTGTTGTTTCTGTATGCGAAAAAATGTTTACAATAAAATGTGTTACGCTTTTGCAATTGAGCATAAATATAGTTGGCTAACAAACTTCTTTAGATTTTACATGCCTAATAAATTTATAAACAAAATTTATGCAACTTAGATAACAAGCTGCTACACTAGCTGAGGCAGTGTACAAAGTATTCTCACTAATTATTTTGAGAAAAATGTCCGAAATATTTATTTCGTTTTTTAAGGAACAATAACAACCAATAAACAAAGAAAAATTTTAAACATGAACTATTTTTAATACTTTGATGTTTAAGGTTTGAACAGTTTCAAATAAGTTCTCGCCATATTTACAACTTAAAAAAAATAGATTTGTAATCAAAGTTACCCTGTTATTCAAAGTAACACCTGTTTACGGTACATTGTTAATAAAAAAATTGAGCATGAAATTTTCTCAGCAACTGTTTAGCTCTTTGTGGAACAAAATTACTATTCATTTTTTGCTCAATATTAAATTTTAATTTTTTTAGTTCCAAAATAATATCTGATGGATTTGCTTGACTTTTTTCCATAACTACTATAGTTTTATTAAAATTTTTTAGCTGTGCATGCACAAACCAGAATTATAACTCACCTGTTGATTGGCAGACTATTCACAGCAGATCAAAGTGTATTGTGCACAATATGTGCACCACAACTAACGCCAACAATATTAACACCAAGTTCTTGTTTGAGCCTGTTGTAAACTTTAGTTTTGCCTCTTCTATATACTCTACCAAAGTTTGTGGTGCAATTTTTAGAACAAAAATTACCTAATTTTTTATCAATCTCATGACGAATGTTGAAATTAGCTTATCAGTCAACAGATTCAAAATCCAACAGTTTTACTTTGATACCTTCCAGTGATAAAACAACAATTATCAACAATCTAACGATCTAACAACAATTTATGATTTACTTCTATTGTTTTGCTTCTGTTCTGTTTGATGCGTCGTTGGAAACACTTACGAAATGCTTCTTTTGTAAGTCATCATGCAATTTTTTTACAGATAAAGGTGCCAGAAAATTTCAAATTATAGCTTGACATTTGATTCTTGCAGTACGAGATTTTGATTGAAAAAACTTTGAGATTAGTTTTAAACTACCGCCAGATGTTTTGAAGCTCAAATTGTGCATAGCTGTGTCAAAGGCGAATGTAGCATTTTTTGCTGCAATAACTAAGTCATCCTAATTAAGTCCATCATTTTTAAAAAATCGTTTAATAGATGGAAAACATGCGGCAGCCGAAACTCCAGCTTTGTGTTTGGCACACTTTAAATGACTTTTAATGTCTGCAACAGAAAATTTTGTTAAAGAATGCTGACATAGCACTTTGTTTTCCTCACCACTAATTTTTTTCACAAATGGGTAATCTTATTGTTCATTCGTAAATTTGCTACTATTTTTTTTTTGGCCTATTAAACACGGCTTCCTATACACATACACTTATAAAGTCGAACTAGGATGATTCAAAATAAGAAATTGAATTCTTGATAAAAAGGAAGACCTAGAAAGTAGCTGTTAGTAATTGCATTAATATAAAATTATAATGACTTTTGTAGTCTGCGTTTTATTTAAAATACAAAATCCTGATTTTCGTTCGGACAAAATGAAATAAATTTTTAATTTTTTTCAAAAACGGGACAAAATGAAAACCGTTGGGACACTGGGACAAATGGCATAAAACTGGTTATCCCCGGTCAAAACGAGACGTATGGGTCATCCATAAAGTATATACGAAGGTATGGGGGAGAGGGTTTCCCAAAAGCATATAAACGCGTACAAGGAACGGGGGGTGATAAAGAGAGTGAGTGCGTACGCGGTCTCCTAAATTTGATTACATTTTTAATTTTTTTTGTTGTTGTGTTGTTGTTTTTTTACTTTAATCACAATTTTTTTTTAATTTCTTTATAAATAATGAGGAGCGAAAAAAGAAATCTAGCGACAGTTTATTCCAAATAATATATTTTATGTTTCGCAACGTAATTTGATTGGTAGCGAGATGAGAAGCAAAAAGGCGTCAAAAAGCAAACTTTTTTCGAATTCTTTTTTTTAATTATTAACCCGCTTTTTTCTCTTTAGATAAGCCACTGTTTTATTTCATTAATTAGAATTTGTTTTTAGAAAAGTTTGCTAATAAATATATTGAACGTATTTGTATATAAATATCTTTAAAAAATCAAATAATGAAAATATTAATTAGCCTGTAATAAGAGACGGAT